GGATGGAGTCAGAACCCTCCGACAACACTGCCTGCTGGGGCATTTTAGGGGGCAGCAGGGCCAGGGGTACACAGGTGGGTCAGGTGTAGATGGTGAGAATGTTACAGGCAGCACCTGTTAATGCTGGATCCTTACAGGGTGGAACCAAGAAGAGCTAAAGAAAGAGTAACGGGTGTACACAGAGGGACTGTGGGGATGGGTGACTGCAGAGTTGGACAGAGTGGATTTTTAGCAGCAGGAAGGGCATCCGGAGGGTAGAGGGAATTTTTAGGGACTTCTGGGGCAGAAGCATGGATTATAAGTCGCGGCACCCTTCATCTTGCTGGAGCCAGTTTTTTGACCCTTCTGTGCCCCCATTTTGTTACCTGTCAAGGTTTTTGCATTGGCCGTTCCCTCCACCAGGGACCTGCCCAGGCTCAATGCCATCTCGTCAGGGCGGGCTTTCCTGCCCGTCCTTCTGCCCCTTCCAGCTGAAGTCAATGCCATCCCAGCTTTCTGTGGCATCACCCTGGGTGGGTTCTTCCAGCCCAGGCCTCTTCTTCCAGCTGTGAAGCCTGAAATGGTTTCTGAGGCCTGAGGCATGGTGCTTTACGAGTACGAACTCATGGATTCTTCACAGTAACTCTGTCGTGTGAACATTTTACAGAGAGAGAGAGAGGCTAAGTTACTCACCCTGGGTCGCCCAGCCAGAAGTGGAGCTGAGACCGAAGTACGGGCTTCTTGGCTCTCCCAGCCATGCCCCTGATGCTTGTGCTGTAGCATATTCCTGGACTTTATCTACTTCTGTATCCCTCTCTAACTAGAAAGCATGTTTTTTGAGGATGGGGACCATAACTGTGCTAGCATAGCACCTGGCCAGGGTAGGTATTTGATAAATGTTTGTGGAATGAATGAAGGAGGTGGGTGTCCATAGGGGACCGCACAGCTTCCCCCTTGAAGTGACACAGACCCCTCAGCTCACAGTTCAGTGGCTGAAGCATGTCCTGCAGCCCTCTCCCCAGGGCAGGCGGGAAAGTAAAGTCCTGCTGCAAGAGGAGGCGGTGGGGGTCCGAGGCCACACCAACGGCCCACGTTTGGCCTGTGTGATGCTTGGCAGACCTCGTGGAGCTCTGTGAGGTGGGGTGCAAGTAGATGGAGAACTCACCACCCAGCAGGGCCACCAAGGACAGATTGGGGAAGGAAGGGCTTCATTACACAGGCTAGGAGTAGGGGAGGGTAGCAAGGTCTAGATAGCAGGGGATTCCCACCAGTAAATGCCCAGTGCGCCGGCCATCTGCTGTCAGGGAGGCTGTTGAGGACCTGTCCCTCCTGTAGGGAGCCTTGGGGGGACTCCCAGCCCCACCCTGGAGCTGGCCCTGGCTGTCCAGCTGCAGCTCCTCCCCAGTTCCCCTCAGGTGAGTGGCGAGCTCCTCATCACTGGCCCAGGCCCCTTCACTGAGCATCCTCACTTCTGCCGTATCGCCCTTGAGGCCTGCTGGGTGGAATCCATGCCCTGCACTAGGTTCAGGCTAAAAGCTGATGCCATCCTGGACTCACTGCTCCTTGTCCTTCTTGTTCCTACCCCCACTGTCCCCACCTCGGCCACCTCCCACCCAGATCCATCAGCAAATATCGACACCTCTGCCCTCAGACTGTGTCCTCGACCCAGTCCCCTCCCACCTCTGCTGTAGCATGGCCGGGTGCCCACAGGAGCCCCCCTCACTCAGCTGCCAGCTGGGCCCTGGCCCGCGATCTCCTCAGCATGGCATCGCCCATGTGGACTTAGGACCCCCATCACCACCCTCTTCACAGCACGCCGGGGCTTCTCAGCCCACTCGAGAGAAAGCCAGACCCCTCTCCATGGCCTGCAGCACAGTGTGGTCTGCCTGCCGGCCCACTGCCCCCTTTGCCTTCCCCCGGGGTCCCTGTGCTTAACCCTGGAATCGCCTCTCCGATTTCCCCACCCACCTCAGGGCCTTTGTCCTCACTGTCACCTCTTCCCAGAAAATTGCCTGATCCCTCAGTCTCTGTTCCCTGCCCCCTGCCCCCTGCCCAGACTAGGCCTCTCAGCTGTACCCACAGGGGCCCATGACTTACTCCCAGCCAGTGTTCACCAAGAGGTGCCTGGCCCAGCAGACACATGGTGCTCACCTAATCCTGAAGAGCTCGCATGCCCACTTCCCACAGCGCCTTCCCCTCTTCCCTTTGTGCTCTGAGCACCTCCAGGGCCAAGGAGCCTTGTCCTGGAAGTCCCTGGATGTGGCATATCGACACCAGAGGGTGGATGGAGGCAAAAAAAAAAGAGCAGCTGCTGCCCAGGGAAGTGACAAGGCGGGACCCAGCTGGGCCTGGACCTGGTCACTACAGCAGTGGCCTGGAGGGACCAGACAGCCTGGGTGGAGTCAGAGCATGCACCTGTGTGGGGAAGGGACCAGGCAGCAGGGGGTGGGGATAGTCCAGCCCAGCTCCCGCAGTCACTGCCATGGGGGCCAGGGAGCAAAGGCCCAGGGATGCCAGAAGGTCTGATTTTTCAGAAGCCAGAAATCCAGATTTTTTGTGCACTCTTCCAGTTTTTAAATACTGGCAACTAGCTGGAATTCTTTTTGTTAACAGTGTGTGGGCCAAAGAAAACCCAACTTTAGGTGAGCCATGGCAACCCCTCACCTGGAAGCTGAGGGAGGGAGAGAAGGGTGTGGGCTGGGGCTGGCATGGAGCAGGATGGTGAGGACCCAGAATCTGCTCTGGCCGTGGCTGTAGAGGCCTGGGGCATTGGAGCAGTTCTTGGTTGGAGACCCCCGAAGCATAGCGAGGCATGTGATCTTGTGAACAGTGAAACGCTGGTCCTTCCGTCCTGGGTCCCTGGGACAGGTAGGAACGGGGCCACTCCATTACCACTTCTGTGCCAGGACCAAACTAGCTAGTGGTTGCTCCCTGCCACACTCCTGGGGACAAGCTTATGGGTGTGGCCGTCCTAGGGTAAAAATAGCAGGGTCACCTTGCAGCCAGGAGGCTTCCTTTCACTTGCACGTGGAAATACAGTGTCCACAGGGCGCTGTTGTCAGCCAGGAGCTGTGCGGTTATGGGGCGGGTGGACACCGGCTTTCATCTCCATTCCCCCAACCCTGGGGACAGAAGAATGCGGACCTCTACCTGCTGGGGCAAGGGGTCAGGCCCGGCCCCCCAGTTAGGGGATGACCTGGCCGATTATGCCCCAGCACGGGTTCTGGGTGTGCCATGAGGCAAGGAGGCCCAAGCCACACTGGACCCCTCATGGACTCTTGAGGAAACACATGTCCCTGTGTCCCCAGCCACTTGACAGCTGTCGGTGACTCTGAGGACTTGGGCTAAGGGGACATGGAGCCAGTCTGGCCTGATGGCTCCATACAGCTCCCAGAGTGACCTGGCAAACTCCGTGGAGAACACCCATCCTGTGGGGTCACATGTGTGGCCATCTTCAAAGCCCTCTCACACCAGCCTGTCTATTTTTTTGTTGTTGTTGTTGTTGTGGTTTTTGTTTTTTTTGAGACAGAGTCTTGCTCTGTCGCCTGGGCTGGAGTGCAGTGGTACAGTCTCAGCTCACTGTAACTTATGCCTCCCGAGTTCAAATGATTCTCCTGCCTCAGCCTCCGGAGTAGCTGGGATTACAGGCGTGAGCCACTACGCCTGGCTAATTTTGGATTTTTAGTAGAGATGGGATTTTACCATGTTGGCCAGGCTGGTCTGGAACTCCCGACCTCAGGTGATCCACCTGCTTCAGCTTCCCAAAGTGCTGGAATTACAGGTGTGAGCCACCACGCCTGGCCCAATCTCTCTCCTTTGACCACCAGGACCACCCTGCCAGGTCAGCCAAGCAAGAGACCTACCACAAGATGGGCAGGACATCTGAGGCCCTAAGGGAGAAGGGACCTGCCAGGGCTCACAGGGCCGGAGTGCCGAAGGGAGGCAGGGCCTGCTCCCAGGGTTGGTGTGAGCAGTGCCGTGTCCCCACAGCCTGCCTGGCCCTACAGACACCTGGCCAGGTACAGACCAGGAGTGCTCTGGCCTGGCGCTAGGCCCCATCAGCCGCACCATGCACATCCCTGCCCTGGCCTGGTTCTGCACACACCTTGGGCACCGAGAGGCTTGAACCAGTGGAATGATCCATGCTCTGGGGGTCCCGTCTCCAGTGGACACACTCAGCCCTGCAGGGCCAGCCCTGCCACTGGCACTGTGACCTCCAGCTAGAACCGCTGCCTCTCTGCACCTTCATCATTACTGAGTGCGTCATTGCAGGCATCTGACTACTTCCTCAGTGTTTACAACAGGGGAAGCCAGGACCCCTGAAAGGTCGTATGGCTGTCAGGCTCCCGAGTCTGGGCTCCTGAGCACCGCAGGTAACCAGAGTGCTGACCTCCCGGAGTGGGAATTGAATGAATTAGTGTGCACAGGGCGCCTCAACAGCGGCGGCACAGAGCAATTGCTCCCCGCAGGTGCTGTGGTTGCTGTTCTTTATTACCCATTGGCAGACAGAGGGTTCCAGTCTGCTCAGAGGAGCAGCCTGGCACGGCGGCTTTCACGCTGAGGGGAGCAGAGATTTGGGCCGGACAGGGAACCCGGTTCTGAAGGCGTGTGCGGGCGTTTGGGGCCAGTACCGAGCAGCCGAGAAGGGGCTGCAGGCAGGGCAGGGGAGTGATGGTCCATCTCCAGCACTCACAGAAGCACCCCTGCAGCCAGCCCAGCCCATTCTTTGTACAAGGTCTGGGCGAGTCTAGGTGAAGGTGTTTGTACCAGGTCCCCCACATTTGGGTTTGGGACAGGGCAGGATGCCTGGAGCCCAGGGTCTTCCGGTGCCAGCCTGGGCTCTTGAGTTCCCACCCAAGCAGGAGATGGATCTAGAGACCCCTGAATGCCTACAGGGATGAGGGCCGGTGCAGGTGGGCAGGGAGGGAGAATGTCAACTGTCCACTGAGCGGAGATCCCCTCCAGGTGCCTGGCTGGCAGCCGGGCAGCTGGGGCTGAGTGTGCCTCTCATCCTACCCCAGGAAGCCTGAGAAGGGAGTCCAGTACCTCATCGAGCGTGGCTTTGTGCCCGACACGCCCGTCGGGGTGGCCCACTTCCTGCTGCAGCGCAAGGGCCTCAGCCGGCAGATGATCGGCGAGTTCCTGGGCAACCGGCAGAAGCAGTTCAACCGCGACGTGCTCGAGTGAGTTCTGTGGCGGGGGTGGGACTTGATTCCACACGCGCCGTCACGCACCCTGTGTTACGCATGGGCACACACAGGGTCAGCCCCACCCTACTTGCCGGGACATGTGCTGGGCACCCCCTTCTCTCTTTCTAACTCCTAGACACACACATGCAGATACCCCACATCTATACAGCATGCAGGTGGGCACCTGCCCTCCAACGCACCATCCCACATGTGGACCCCGCTGCCTGTCCACCCACCTTCTTTCAGGTACCCTCGGCCCCTCCTCCCCTCTGTCCCTAAGCACGGTTTATCCAACCTGGCACCAAGCATCACAGCCCTCAGTGACCCATGTTCCTGCAGCCTCTCATGGCAGGGCTGGCAGGAGCAGGCAGCTGGAGGTCAGGGCACCTCCTGCATGGACTGCATGCCCTGTCTGCTCCTGACTTGCCCCTGGGGAGAGTGGTCGGGAGCTGGATCAAGTGACCTGCCTCCCTGTGGGCGGCCCGTGCCACACTCTGCCCCTGCCTTATTCTTCTGGCTGGGATATTTGGGCTGTGTGTCCTACCCCCACCTCCTGATTCCACAGCTTCCCCCAGCTTAGAGAGCTGGTGAGCACAACATTCTCAGCTACTTGAAAGCCTTCTGAAAAATGGGTTCCCAACTCCCTGAGCCAGAAGGGTGGGCCAGGAAGAGCATTCAGAGCAGGGTGAAGTGTTGGCCATCCAGAGGCAGTCCCTTCTAGCCGCCCAGCCCTGCCCATGTGCAGCCGAGGGGACCAGCGAGGGCTGGGGAGCAGGTGCCCGGGAACAGCAGCCCCTGGAGCACGAGGCCTCACGTTCCCTGGGGCTGGCCAGTGCGCCTGCGGTCTCTGCTGCTTCCCTAGGAGGCAGCGGGTGCCGTCGCCCCTTTTGTCTCATGGGTGGGGAAACCAAGGCTCAGAGTGGGAGGGGCTGGCCTGGGCACACACTCCTACATACACGGACTTACACACACAGGCACTCATGTAGTCCCGCCCCACACCCAGGAGGCTAAATGTGGCCAGCACATGGCAGGCACCAGCAGAATGTCTGTGTCCTTGGTCGGCCAAGCATGCACAGGCCGGGCATCTTTCTCCCTGCTCAGCACCTGGAGAAGCCTGCTGTATTGTTAGGGTGGCTACTGCCCTCTCCCCTCTTTGAAGCAAGCATGAAGAAAGGTCCGAGGATGAGCTCCTTGGTGAATGCCCAGCTCCAGCCCCCATCCCCTGCAGCCATTCCCCGCTCCAAACCGGTTCCTGGTCCTTAGGAAATCCGCATATTGTTCTCCTCATTCAGAAAATAGCAGTGGCCTCAGGAAGTGGCTGGCTCCCCCGGGCCACCACACCAGGCATCTGCAGGGCCGCTGCTCCTCCTGCTCAGCAAATCCTCCTGCCTGCTCCCTGCTTGCCCTCTCCCCACTGCTCTGAAGCCACCTCCAAGGCTGTTGCCCCAGGAAGCCTTGAGCGCTCAGAGGAGGGTGGGAGCAGCTGCATCGCCCCTTGTGGGGATGGCCCTGGGAGAGGGGTCAGGCCCTGTGTGGCCAGGCCTCTGCCCCATGGGAGTGACTGCAGCGTCATTAGGGAGCTAGGCCAGAAGCTGGAGCCTGCCCCAGGGCTCCTGGTGCAGACCCCATCTTCTCTGTTCCAGGGTCACCATAGGAGGGACTGGAAGGGTGTGCCAGGGGCAGAGCCATGGGAAGAATGTAGAGACCATTCATCAGCCGCCCCTCCAGGCACTCCCCCGCAGATGAGGGTGCATGGCCCTTTCAAGTCCCTGGAAAAGCACCTGCAAAACCCAGCCCACCACCCCGATACTCTCCCCACAAGGGCTTATTCTGAAAGTCAACACCCTGGGCACCCTTTCTTCACTGTGAAAATGGCAGTGAACTCCCCGACCCCATGCAGAAGGAGAAGAGACTCACCGTAGCATCCACTGTGTGCCTGGTGAGGGCTATGCTTAAAAATGCTTGTCTCGGCCGGGCGCGGTGGCTCACACCTGTAATCCCAGCACTTTGGGAGGCCAAGGCAGGCAGATCATGAGGTCAGGAGATCGAGACCATCCTGGCTAACACAGTGAAAACCCATCTCTATAAAAATACAAAATATTAGCCGGGCGTGGTGGTGGGCGCCTGTAGTCCCAGCTACTGGGGAGGCTGAGGCAGGAGAATGGCGTGAACCTGGGAGGCGGAGCTTGCAGTGAGCTGAGATCGCGCCACTGCACTCCAGCCTGGGTGACGAACGAGATTCCGTCTCATAAAAAAAAAAAAATTGCTTGTCTCTTGGGAAGGGCTTTGATCCAGATAACCATATGCTCTGCCCCGCTGGGAAGACTGCCCACATAAATATAGGCACACACGCTTCCCTACAGTTCCAGGGGCTTCACAGCTCCCCAGAAGCCTGGATGTCTTTTTGCTGCATTCTGAGGGCTCTTAGCTGATTGGTTGGAGTCCAGCAGGGGCCCTCCCTACCAGGAGGCAGCCCGTTCCCTGGGCTCCAGGCACCACCACCTGAGTGTGGGCTGGGCGTGTCACACCTGCAAGGGGTGCTCATGCGGGGCTGTCTGTCTCTATTCCAGCTGCGTGGTGGATGAGATGGACTTCTCTACCATGGAGCTGGACGAGGCCCTCAGGAAATTCCAGGCGCACATCCGTGTCCAAGGGGAGGCTCAGAAAGTGGAGCGGCTCATCGAGGCGTTCAGGTGGGGCCCAGGCTGGCTGGGGGTGCTGCATCGGGGGAGGATGGTGTCCCCAGCTTCAGGGCCCAAAGATGGACCAAAGACTGCATCCCCACCATCCCTAGACAGGGCCAGGTGTCCCTGAATGTTGCTTTGGGGGTGACCGTAGTGTCCCAGTCTACATTCCAGGCACTGTGTCGGGCTCCTTTCAGCCATTGTGAGGTGGTGGGGGTGGAGGAGACTGTACCAATTATTCTGATTGTGAAGATGAGGAAACTGAAGTTGAAAGAGGTTATGATTGCGACTGCTAGGATTCTGTCTGTTCAAATCGGGATTCTGAATGCTCTTCCTCCAGTTCCCCTCGAACTCTGCATTCATCCACAAGTCCATCTATCTAGTCATTCATTTGCTCATTCATGAGGAGCGGCGCAGTGACTCAGAGCACTAGCCAGACAGCCAGACGCCTGGTTCAGTCACCGACTCCACCACTTACTGGCTGTGTGGCCCTGTACTGGTTTCTTAACTTCTCTGTGCCTCATTTCTTCACCTGTGAAGTTGAATAACAATAGCACATATCCTACAAAGGGGTGCAAGGATGAACCGACACAGGACATGTGGGCACACTTAGCCCAGTTCCTAACACAACAGTGAGCTCGAGGTCACTACACAGTCATCCGTTCTGGGATCACGTGCAGACTGGCTGTGTAGGAGCCTGCATGTTCGATGCTGGGTGTGGGCAGCACAGGTCAGCTGCTGACCCAGCCCTCTGGGCTCTGCACTGGTGGTGGGGCCAGGAGGATTGAGGACACAGAGGGAGGACAACCCCAGGGCCCTGGCAGGAGGCAGCATGCACCCGCTTCTTTCCAGGATGGTTTCCTGGAGGGGAGGGCACTAAGCTGGGCTCCTGAGCCTCAGTCCCGGTACTTTGCCTGGCTCCTCTACTCCTCTACTCTGTCCCTGCCTCTTGTCACCTGCCCCTCCACGAGGTCAGCAGTGGAGGGGCCCCTGGAGTGGCAGTGGGAGCGGCAAGTGGGCGGATTCCAAGGCAGGGGGGTGTTCTTGTCCACAGCTGTTGAACCTGAGGCCCCTCAGTAGCCATGGCTGAGACAAGGCGAGGTGTTTCTCCCTCTGAGCTGGTGTGGAGGTGGCCCGGGCTGCTTTCTCCTCAGGGTCCCGGAGGGCAGGCCTGACACCCACTGTGACATCCCCATTGCAGGCAGTAGGAAGAGGGGCCCAGCCTTACAGGCACTCACATCACATCTGTTCACATCCCATGGGCCGAATGTGGTGGTGTGGCTACTCTGAGCTCCTGGGAGCTGGGAAATGCAGTCCTCCCCAGGACGGCCGTGTGCCCGGCTATAATCCAGGGTAGGAGGGACTGCAGTAGAGAAAGGAGGGCAAGTGAGTAGTCAGGGCCACCTCCGACAGGCAGGCGTGATCCTCGCTCACCAGAAGCAGGAACTGAGACTCAGCAGTACGTGACAGCCTCAGCTGGTGAGAGAGGGGCCATGTCACTTGCTGCGCCATGGCCCTGACCCCCTCCCTCCCGGCCTGCAGCCAGCGCTACTGCATCTGCAACCCCGGGGTGGTGCGGCAGTTCCGGAACCCAGACACCATTTTCATCCTGGCCTTCGCCATCATCCTGCTGAACACCGACATGTACAGCCCCAATGTCAAGCCCGAGCGGAAAATGAAGCTGGAGGACTTCATCAAGAACCTCCGAGGTGAGCTGTCCTGGGCGGTCAAACAACCACAGACTTGCTTCAGCACCTGCCTCAGCCAGGCCCTCCCCGGGTGTAAGGGCAGACAGGGACATGAGGCAGCCTCCAGCTGGGGAGCTGGGCTCCAGCCTCCAGGGTCTGGCATGGAGGGACCTTTGGGGAGCACAGCACAGATGACTGGGAAGAGCACTGCCTTAGAGGAGCCCCTGTGGGACACAGGTTGCACGACACAGGCCGGGGTCTCGAGGTGTTGGGAAACCTTCCTCACGGAGAAGGTGACACTGTTAGCTTGCCCTTGAAGGATGAAACTAGCCTTTTTCTGTGTGTCTTTACCTAAAAGTATGTATTTTAAAAGGGGACTTGATATCGCTACTGTAAATGGAGAATGAGTAGCATTTGCCAAATGTAGAAAGTAATTATAAAAATAAATGCAATGAAAAGAAAACAGTGCTGCTGAGTTCTAGCCAGTGCGGCTTCCCTCTGCTGGCACTGGAGTACAGACCCGACTCCCTGTCCCCTGGGAGGTGGGCATGTGCTGGGAGGTGTGGGTGCAGGGTCTGCGGGAAGCGAGGCCTCCTTGCGTGATCAGAGACGGGAAAGGAGCTAAAAGGCCGTGACCTTCCCCCAGGCAGCTCCGTGCCAGCCCAGTGTGTCCCTTGTGTGCCCCGAGGCCCTCGGAAGGAAGGAGGAAGGCACTGCATCCTTCAGTCCGTGTGGGAACCCTGGCTGCAAGAGCTGAGGGTGGGTTGAAAGGACAGGGACTGAGGGTTCCTTGGAAATGGTATCACTGTTTATAAAAGCAAAGAAGAGCAGTGTGAATCCAGCCTGGCTCTAAGAGCATGTGGAACTGACAAAGCTGTTCATTCTTAGTTTATTCAACGGTGGTTCTGCCGTCCCTTCTCCTTGGACAGGGTCACTGTCCAGGGAGCAGCTCCAGCTCCACTCCAGGGTCTTTAGGTGCCCTCCCGTTCTCCTGGTGGTGGGTGCCACTGTGGCAGGATCCTCAGGCAGCAGAGACCACAGGGAGATGGCACCTGAGCTAGGCTCTAAGACCTGAGTGGTTCTGCCACCTCCCTTGGGAGGCAGGAAGGGATGCTGAGCAGGCTGGGGCATGGCTTAGAGCTCATGGACAGCCATTCCCTGCACCCCGCAGTCACTGCATGTGGCCTCTTGCAAGGTCTGAGGGGCATTGCAGGCCCCAGGTCCATCAAGTCTGTAGTTCCTAGGAACCAAGGCATCTTGAAAGCTCCTGAGAGCCACCAGTGGACACTTTGATGGTACAACAAATGCACTCCCAGGCCTAGGTGTCCAAGCAGTAGCCAGGAGGCCGGGGCCTCCTCTACATCCACCCAGGGCCTCTCTCACCCTGAGCCTCACTTCTCATGGGGCCGAGCCTGTTTCTGGGATTCACAGACTCCCACGTTACACCTAATGCAGGCTGGCCACTCATCACCTCCAGGAAAGCCAGCTGTGTGCTGCATGCTGTTGGCAGCCCAGGGGGAGTTTGAGGGTCTCTGATTTGTTTTAATTAATTAATTTATTTATTTATATTTAGAGGTCCCTCTAGCAGCCCAGGGACAGTTTGAGGGTCTCTGATTGTTTAGACACGGTCTTCCTTTGTCACGCAGGCTGGAGTGCAGTGGTGCAATCATGTCTCACTTCAGCCTTGACGTCCCAGGCTCAAGAGATCGTCCTGCCTCAGCCTGCCAGGTAGCTGAGACCACAGGCGCGGACTGCCATGCCTGGCTAATTTTTAATTTTTATTTTTTCTAGAGGTAGGGTCTCACTATGTTGTCCAGGCTGGTCTTGAACCCCTTGGCCTCAAGTGATCCTCCCACTTTGCCCTCCGAAAGTGCTGGGATTAAAGGCTAGAGCCACCATGCCCGAACAGGTGTTTTTTTTTTCCTTACTTTAGAACCTCCTGCATGTCATCTGGAATGTGCTGGATGAGAAATAACAGGAGGAACCAGAAACGACTGGCCTAGAGCAGAGAAGGATTGGCGGGGCAGGGCTACTGAGTCAGGTGGTGGCCAGTCCATACCCCCATGGCAGTGGCTCTGTGGTTCCTGTCCATGGTTGCACCCGGTCCTGCCAGCTCTCTGGATGACAGGGTGGCAGGAGCCTCCCCACTTCCCATGGAAGGGGCTGAGCACCCCATTCCCAAGGAGGGAGCTGCAGGTTCTGTCTCCCAAGCCTGGGCTGTCCCCACCAAGTCACCCCTTTTTTTTTTTTTTTTTTGAGACGGAGTCTCGCTGTGTTGCCCAGGCTGGAGTGCAGTGGCCGAATCTCAGCTCACTGCAAGCTCCACCTCCCGGGTTTACGCCATTCTCCTGCCTCAGCCTCCCCAGTAGCTGGGACTACAGGCGCCCGCCATCTCGCCCAGCTAGTTTTTTGTATTTTTTTAGTAGAGACGGGGTTTCACCGGGTTAGCCAGGATGGTCTCGATCTCCTGACCTCGTGATCCGCCCGTCTCAGCCTCCCAAAGTGCTGGGATTACAGGCTTGAGCCACCGCGCCCGGCCGACAAGTCACCCCTTTTCAGCCTGGAGCCCAAGGACGTTCTTTCTCATCTTATTCTTCAGAAGGGGTGATCAGGGCTCAGAGAAGGCAGGGACCTGCCCAGGGTCACATCAGCCAGGAAACGGCAGAGGCAAGGCAGATCCCTGGACTCCTGGAACCAGCCTGGTGCTCCGTGCCTAGCGCATGTTCTTTTTGTAGGGATATCCTCATCCCCACCCCAACACACATCCTCTCTCGAGTGGGTCACCCCAGTTTATCCGGTGGGTCCTGCAGCAGGAGAGCCCTGGGGGCTGGAGGACTGTGAAGGAGGAGTAGCTCACCACGGAAGCCAGTCCAGGAGTCTTCCCTTGTTATTAAAGTTTTTGAATTTTTTAGTTTATTTTTTAAATGGATATTCACATAGTTTGAAAGCCGGAAAGTAATATGATCCAGCAGTTGTGCTCCTTGATATTTACCTAAATGAACTGAAAACTTAGGCCCATGGAAAAACCTGTACACAGATGCTTATAGCAGCTCTATTCAAAACTGTCAAAACGTGGCAACCACCAGACGTCCTTGAGCAAGTGAAGGGATAAATAAACTGCATGCCTCCAGACAGTGGAATAGTGCTCAGCACGAAAGAGAAGTGAGCTATCGACCATGAAGAGATGTGGAGGAACCTGAAGTGTGTAGCACTGAGTGAAAGAGGCCAGTCTGAACAGGCTGCGTGCTATGTGAGTCCAACTCTATGACATTCTGGAAAAGGCAAAACTATGAAGACAGGAAAAGGATGAGTGGCTGCCAGGAGCTGGGAGGGGGATGGGTATGCGGAAATCAGGATTTTCAGAGTGGTGACACTGTTTTGGGTGGTGCTATAGTGGTAGATAAGGGTCGTCCTACGTTTGCCCAAACCCGCAGAATCACAACACCCGGAGTGGACCCTAATCTAAAACGTGGACCCCGGTTAACGCTGATGCATCAGTGTGGGCTCATCATTGTGCCAATGGAGCACTCTGGTGAGGATGGCGACAGCAGGGGTGGCTATGAGTGTTGGGGGGTAAATCTGCCTTCTGCTCAGTTTTGCTGAGAACCTAAAACTGCTCTAAAACTAGTGTCTATTTAGGGGAAAAAAAATGCTGGAAGGTGCCTGGCAGAGTTTCCCTCCCACCCTACCCCACGTGCTCAGGGCATAGCCTCTGCCCTTGAAGGTCCTCCATTTTGGCCTCTCCTGGCCGTGCCCCCTAGTTGTGCTCCGCTCATGCAAGTGCACATATACAGGAACGGTTTTACCCCCTGTTACTTTGCACCTTGCTTTTCTCACTTACTAAATCTAAGAGAAATGACCCATGTGCTTTATTGTGGCCTTCCTCACTGTTCCTGACAGATGCGGAGTAAGTAGTCTGTTGTGCTGATGTGGAATGATTGGTGAGCACTGCCCTGTTAATGGGTACACGGGTTACTTCCAGCCTTTTGCCATTTGGAAACAGTGCTGCAATAACCTTGTATGTGTCTCATTTCCCATGGGATAAGTTCCCCAAATGCAGTCAGTGTACCAGAGGGTGCTAGAACTTGTCATTTGGGCAGGCATTGCCAGGTTGCCTACCCCAGGTTCGAGCATCTCCTGTCCTGCCAGCCATCTGTGGGAGGTCCGTCTTCCCCAAGCCCTGCAGCCCTTTGGACTGCAGCCTGGCAGAGGGATGAGGCTGGAGCTCACTGCAAAACGAGTTTGCATTTCCCGCATGTACAAGGCTGTTTCTCTGCTCACAGCAGTTTTCAGAGTGGGGAGGAAGAAAGAAGTGTGTGCTTGTGGTTAGGGCAGCCCTGGGTCAGAGCCCAGCCTCCAGTCTCTGCCCAGATGATGTGGGCCAGCAACAGCAGCCACTGCAGCACTCTCACTGCTCAGATGCAGAGCTGGGCATGCCCCAGGCGCCCCTCGTTTCCTCATGACAAGCCTGTGTTGTGGGCAACCTGTTTTAGAGGAGGACACCAAGCATGGGTGACGCACTCGCCTATAGTCACATAGCTAGTAAGTGTGAAAGTAGGATGTGGCCCCAGGTCCATCGGAGCCCAAACTCACAAACCCCAACCTCCCCACACCTCAGCCTCAGTCTTTCCATCTGTGGAATGGAGATGATTATACCCACTTTGAAGGGCTGTGGTTACCATGGAGCAGGGTAGCATTTATAAAGCCCTCTAAACATGGCTTAGAGGTGGCTCAGCCCCTGACACCCATCGCCTACTAGTCCGGGTCAGATGTACTGGGCCCATTCCGGTAGGAGGACTGAGGAAATTTGTGTTGACTGAAAATGTCCTGTTGCTGTGGGCCCGCCTGGGAGTTCTTTGGTTCTGTTGGGTCTGGTGGAAGGTTCGCTCCTCTGATTTGCTTTAGAAACTGGTAAATCGAGTGAGCTTAGGGCCCACCCTGATACCCAGCTGCCTCCCCTGCCCAGGTGTGGACGATGGTGAGGACATTCCCCGGGAGATGCTGATCGGGATCTATGAACGGATCCGTAAGCGAGAGCTGAAGACCAATGAGGACCATGTATCCCAGGTGCAGAAGGTGGAGAAGCTCATTGTGGGGAAGAAGCCGGTATGTCATGGGCCCTGGTACATGGTGGGCCCCAGCACCACCGGGACGGGGCTGCCTGCCAGGCCTTCTCACTCCCACCCACTCCACTCCATGTGGTGCCTTCCAGCAGGGCTGGTGAATTCTGCCAGCCAGGGCTTGGGGTTTTTTCAAGTGGTTCCTGTCATATTTGGGAATAACAGCTACTGGCTCTGCATTACAATCTGAAGAGAGCTGAGGCGCTTAATAATCCAGCAGGCCAGGGTTGTGCAGTGGCTGAGTTCTGGACCCCTGAGACTGGTGGTCTTTCCTGGGTGGTCCAGGAGTCCCCTGGGACCCCTCAGAGGTCTCTGCCAGAGCAGGTCCCCCACACACTGGCTGGGTGGAGCCCAAGGGGAGGTGTAGGGAGGGGCACTTGCAGCATTGGCCTGGGCGTGGCTTTGAAACATGAACACCGTTTTGTTGGTTTCACATTCTCCCACAGATCGGATCCCTGCATCCCGGGCTCGGCTGTGTGAGTATTTCTCTGCTTTTACCTTTGTGGGTAGCCCACTGCCTTAGGGAAGTCCCACATCAGCCAGTCTCCGGCTCCCCAGAGCCCGAGTGCTGGCTGCTTGAGTTTGTTGCTGGGGCGCTGAGGAATCAGGTGTTCATAATTACCCCAGCCTCAGATCTCTGCAGGCCCTGAGGCTGTGCTGTCAGGGGAGACTCCTACTGGCTCTTGTCGGTGCCCTGTTGAGGCCAGCCCCCAGACCCTGCGTCTGAAACAGACCCCGGTGTGTCCTCTGAGGCCCTGCCCTGTCCGCTACCTGACCCTGCTCTGTGCTCTATCCCCCACATCCCATGCCCCAGGCATTCCCAGTGCCCGCCTCCTCACCCCCAGGACCCATCCTCTGCCATAGCTTTGTGGTGTGCCCACACGCCCCAGGGCACATGCACATAGGGTGACCAGGCCGCTTGCCATGACCCTCCTTGTGGACTGGCCTTGTCCCTCAGTCCTGAAAGCAGCTCTGCCTGCCCTCACCCTCCCCAGCTTCCCCTGCAAGAGACCAGGCCCCTCCCACCTCCAGCCTGTGCTCCTCAACCCTGCCATCCTCTCTCCTTCACACCTTTGCAATCTGAGCACCCCAGGCTGGGCCACATTTTCCCCCCTCATCTTAACCCCCTGATGTGCCAAACTCAGGCAGCCCTGGCCTAGAGCACGCCTGGCAGAGTCAAGCCGCTGGCCTCAGGGCAGTGATCCTGGGGATCCCATCCCTTTGACCTTCTCCCCTGTCCTGCATGAACCTGGGCACTCCCAGAGCCAAGCCCTGATGGCTCATCCCTCGCCCTGAGGCATCCGGCCTCAAGGGCAGCTGGAGCTATGACCATGTTGAGGGCTCGCGTGAGCTGTCAGGGACATGTTCAGGGCAGATGTGGGGAGTGGAGGACAGCGCCAGGGCAGGTGCCACAGAGTATTGGCTGCTGGCTCAGGATTTTCAGGCATCAGGACAATAGGTATCTTTTATGGGGAGGCTTGGTAGGATGGGAAAAGTCCTGGGACCTGGAATTGGATCCTGGCTCTGCCACTTCCTGGTTTTGTCATTACTTACCTTCTGTGCCTCAGTTTCCTCATCTAGAGTAGATTCTCTCTGTAAAGACTTTTTCAGGGCTTAGTGGCCTCATGTGTATGACCAGCACATTGCAGGGACTCAAAATGTGACTCACTATCAGGGCTTAGTGGCCTCATGTGTATGACCGGCACATTGCAGGGACTCAAAATGTGACTCACTATCTGGGCAGAGGCTCCCAGGTGAACTTGATAGTTTAAGAAGCCTGGTACCTGCCCAAAAGAATGGAAGGGGGGTCTCAGCAGAAGCAGGGGTGCATCCCTAGTGCTTCAGGAGAGCAGACATGAGGGATTTTAAGTAGTGGCTCCTGAGAAGAGAGTATGGGAAACTGCCATGAACCAAAAGACACATCTGCTCTTCACTGTGTGTGAGGGAAGGCATTTTTGAACTCAAGGCCCACGTGCCAGGTTTCTAGCTTGAAGGGCTAGACTTGTCCACTGTGGCTCCCAGGGCTCCTGGAGGAGAGCTGGGCGGCCGTGGCAGGACAGCCTCTCCCCACACAGGTGCTCTCTCTGCCCCACCGTCGGTTGGTCTGCTACTGCCGGCTCTTTGAGGTTCCAGACCCAAACAAGCCCCAGAAACTCGGACTACACCAGCGAGAAATCTTCCTGTTCAACGACCTCCTGGTGGTATGTGGCTCACCCACAAGGTGTCATAGCAGGGACCTCAAGCCTGAGCCCAGGGTCCGCGTCTGGCTCTCTGCATGGGGGAGATGTGCATGCATGCGGGGGTGCAGAAGGGAGGGTCTGCCTGGTGTCTGTCACACTGATGCACGTGGAGACAGACTTCATTGGCTCATGTACAGGTCCAGAGGGGGATCTTTGGCTTTAGTGCCAGCTCTTTCCAGAGCCTCTGCCAATGTCAGCAGCACTCCTGTGTGCTGTCTGCACCTGTACCTTGTGTGACGCTTCCTCGGGCAGGCCCCTTCCTCAGGCAGGCTCTGTCCAGGAAGGGAATGTGGCCCCAGCAGCTTCAGACCTGATCCTGTCTGCTGAGCAACTGTAGAATTCTCTTCTTAGACTGAGCAGAGGTTGCAGAGTTAGTCCTTGTTGCTGCACATCCCTCCCTAAGCCACTCCAGGCCAGGCAGGTGCAGCGCTTTCTGATTGGCTAGACCTGGGTCCCAAGCCCCACCTCCTGGAACCCTGAGCTGGTCCCCTCAAGACCTATGGACTGAAGGAAATAAGGGCTGGTGGTTTCCCCAAAAGGAAACTGGGGCGCTGTTGCCAGAAAAAAAGGTGATATGGCTGCTGGCCAGATGGGGGCAGAACTGCAGAGAGAAGGGAGTTTGTCCTTTGGATTTCTATACCATGCCACAGGCTTTCTTGCCAAAGATGCCCATGTTCTTGATTGGGTATGAAGACTGGCTACCCTTCTCTGACCACTGATGTTGAAATCAGACCTGTAGGTTCAAATCCTTTATGAAGAACTTCTGACCTTGAGCGAATCCCTTCACATCTCTGAGCCTCAGTTTCCTCCTCTGTAAGATGAATCTCTCAGAAGGTGGCGGGGGTCCAGTGAGGTCCTGGACCTAAGACCCTTACATGGTGCTTGGCATGCCCTAGAGACCGGGGAGGTGTGAGCTCCCCTCTCCCCTCCCAGCCCAGCCTTTGGCTGCCACACTGGAAAGTTCCTTTCCTTACTGCAGACCAGGATAGCAGCCAAGGACCGTGGCGGGCCAGCAGGGGTTCAGGCATCACATCGCTAGCCCAGGGGCCAGTCTCCCTGCGGGCCGTCACCAGGCATAGCTTCACACTCTAGCTGTTCCCGAGAGAGGAAGCCATGGCCTTTTCTCAAGGTCAGCGCTGCTGAGCGCCACCTGTCCATTCTTGCCCCTCAAGGTAGCAAGCCTCAGGTGTGTACACCTCACCTGGCTGTGAGAAGGCACTTGACGGGGCTCCGTGCTGTGAAGTGCCTACCGCCTCTGTGCCAGGTTGTGGGACTTTGTTGCCAGCCAAGATGGCATCGGGGTTGCAGGGACAGGAACCGTCGTCCGAGTCTTGGAGTAGAAGGCCGTGCCCTCCCCCAACGTGGGCTTGTCCCTGTCCTCCTGACTTTGAACTCCAGGAGGGTCCTCTGGCCAGAGGTTGCACATAGTCACTGCCCGCCAAGGCACTGCAGCTCAGCTCTGTCTCTGGCTGCCTCCAGGTCACCAAGATCTTCCAGAAGAAGAAGAACTCGGTGACGTACAGCTTCCGACAGTCCTTCTCCTTGTACGGCATGCAGGTCCTGCTCTTCGAGAACCAGTGTAAGTCTGCCCCAGGGCCTGCCTGGAAGAGCGCACGTCCCAGCTTACGCTCTTTCTTCTGGCTGCTTCGAGGACAGAACCCTGTGGGGGCTTCTACACTCAACCCTGTTTTATCCCCAGAGAGCAGATTGCAGCTAGGGGCTCTGGTGAGCAGTGGGCACAGACCCTCAACAGACCCATCAGTCAGTTGAGCCTGATGTAATTACTGGTACTTCACTTCTTGCAGTGATAAGATTTTTAAATTTATGGCAGAAATACATTTATTTAAATAAAATGTTGACAGAAAAACATTAAATCGTATAGGTGATACGCAAACATGGCCCAGGACACAGGCAACAGCAACCCCTGAGTGTCCATGGAAGTGAAGAGCTGAGCCCCTCAGCCTAGGTCAGATCCCAGCTCTGGCTCAACTGCTGTGTGGCCTGGCTCTGCAACCCCACTGGCCTCTGTTTCCTGGGTCATAAAGTAGTGCCTGCGACAGGGCCCCTATCATAGCTGCCGGAACACAGTGCTTTGCAAGGGTTAATTTTGATGTCCTGCTGGAAGGCACTGCGTAAGGCCTGGGGGCCTGGGAGTTTGAGGGGCTCACACCTGCAGCACCCCACTGGCTTCCATTTTACCTTGCTCCTTTCGCTCTCCACAGCTTCTCTTCCCCCTCCTTTGTCCCTTCCTTATTGGAGGCTGAGCCAGCCCTCCTGGGCTGGGGAGCAAGGGGCCACCTGGCGTGTCCTAGGGAAAGAAGCTGAGCGTCCCTGCTTTAGCAGTAGGGGTCCCTTGTCCTCTCAGAACTAGGCGTCACTGTCTGTCTAATCAGCCTTCCATCTGCAGGTTAGAACAGTGTCAGGGACCCACAGCTGGACCATCCAAAACCACAGGCCTTGCGCCTAGCTCTGGGGCTGTCTGTCCCCTTCCATCTTCAGTGGGACCAGGGACAGCCCGGCAGGAGCCCCTGCACTCTCTGTATGCCCTGCTCCCCATACGCCCAACAAGGAGCACGGCGTGCCTGCCCTGGCTGCCTCCCCAGGCTGCCTCCCCACCTCCTGCCATTCTTGTCTATCGCAGGCTGCAAGTCATGGCTTACCTTGGTCCCAGGGGAGACCAGTGCCATCCCCACATTGTCCTGACCAGCAGTAGCCCACTCTCTGAGATGGTGTCATTGACCCCTGCCCCCCAGGGCTGGGGTGGGAACTTAGTGAGATCCTGGCAGCAAAGCTCCCAGCAGGGGGCCAGGACCACTGTGGACCGTCAGGGCAGAGGCTGCACCTGGATCATGTCTGTGGTCCCAGGGCTTGGCCTTAGATCCTGGACGCTGGGTGCTGGCAAGAGCTAAGCCTGCAGCTTCTGTAGGAGATGCTGTCATGCCAGGGATCTCAAACTGGCAGCCTTGGAGGCAGGCCCAGCTCAGTTATGTTTTATATGGTTTGCATATTTTTTAAAAATTTGCTGAACCAGTCTCCACATCAAAATGTAGATATTGTGAAAATCAGAAGGTTTGGCGTCACTAGGCACATGTTCCCATGTGGCAGTAATGGGCTGCATGTACACACATGTGCACACATATGCACACAGGAGCACTCTTCAGCTGCCCGCAGGTCCACCTGGCCCACCTGGTCTGAGCCAAGATGGGATTAGTGCTTGGTCCAAGAACCTTCAAGCATCCAGTGGCTGATGCTTTGTCAGTGACTCTCACTGCAGGAGCAGCACTGACAAGAGATCAAAGCCCCAGGGACCCTGAAAGCCAGGAGGTGGCACCAGGCAGGTCTGGGCACAGGGTTCCTTGGCTGTGGAGTGCCCATAGTGCACCCCATGGGAGTTGTGGGCCACAGGCCATTTGGGATAATATGGCCCTCACTGTTGTCCAGAACTGAAATGATTAGAGAAGACCCCCACCCTTCTCAGGACGCAACCTCTGTCCTCCTCCAGGATTCAGCACCTGGCAGAGTGCCCAAGGACCTGGAAGTCAAGGGCCTGGTCTCCATGACCTTAAGGTTGGGGAAGAATGGTGGCCCCAGCAGCCTCCCGTGAGCTCGGCCACTTTTGTCCCCAAGTCACATGTGGAGCAACACAGACCATCTTTCCCAAGTTGGGAGATGAGGTTGCTCTGTACCCCTGCAGCCTGCCACTGCTGAGGCTGGACTCCGGGCACTTATCCCAGGCTCACGCACAACTCAGCCCTACCATTGTTTCCTGACCAGAGAGAAGGTTGCAGAGAACACACTGAGACCCGTGGGCCTCCTCCCCTCTCGCTCCCTTTTGCAGACTACCCCAATGGCATCCGGCTCACTTCATCTGTCCCCGGAGCAGACATCAAAGTGTTAATAAACTTCAACGCCCCCAACCCTCAAGACCGGAAGAAATTCACTGATGACCTGCGGGAGTCCATTGCGGAAGTCCAAGAGATGGAGAAGCACAGGATAGAGTGTGAGTACCAGGGCTTGTGGACAGAAGGCCGAAACTTGCTGGCCACTGGCACTTGCCTCCCCATGTCAGGGCAGTGACTTCTCCTGAGCCCACAGAGATGAGATGTCCCTCAGTCTTTTCTGACCTTCCCTATGGCCACGTGATGGGGCAGTCTGTGTGCCCAGGCTGCAGGAGGCACAGAGGGGGTCCAATCCAGGACCCGCCCTACCTGTTGCCTGTCATATGTCCAGCAAAAGACTCTGGCTCTCTGGTCACCCCGTGCACAAGAGCCTGCAGAGTTCCCAGCTGGCCTTTCTGCACCTCGTCGTCTTCTGCATCAGGCTCAACCCACTGATGGGTCACACAGCCAAGGCCATCCTTGGCTGCAGGTCTACTCCCTGGAGGCACATGGGACTCCCTACTGCTGCCCCCTCTGTGGAAGGCCCTGGCTAATCCTTACTCATCTCCCAGACCTAGGCAAGTCTGTGCCTCCCTGTCCACCCCCGAGCCTGGAAGGTGACTGTCATTCCTGCAGGTCACAAGGCCCTCTGGCCTCCCTAGCCTTCCTCCTGGGATCTCCTTTCTGCTCTTTTGTCCAGGGTGGCCATCACACCCTCTTTCCCAGAAACAACCCTTCCCCATTCAAGGCAGATGGTGGCTCAGGACAGTGCTAGCTCCAAGCAGAAGGCCCCGTCTCGCACCCGCTCTAGGCTGTGCTCCTCTCATCAGGCCACTCACCCTCTCTGTTCCAGCGGAGCTTGAGAAGCAGAAAGGCGTTGTGCGGCCCAGCATGTCCCAGTGCTCCAGCCTCAAAAAGGAGTCGGGCAATGGAACTCTGAGCCGGGCCTGCCTGGACGACAGCTACGCCAGCGGCGAGGGCCTCAAGCGCAGTGCCCTCAGCAGCTCCCTGCGGGACCTCTCGGAAGCTGGTAAGAGCTTGGCCTAGAACCACCTTCCTAGCCCAGCGCATGCAAGACCGAGGCAGGGCGTCTGCATTCGGGGCATGCATCACGCGGGGCGGGGCCTGCGGCGAGGCCAGTGTGGCATTTTCCCTGACCTCCACCAAAGCAGAGCAGCGTCTGACAGCACAGAAAGGGCATCCCAAAAAGATACAGGAAAACAGGACCAAATTGTGAAAAAGAAAGGCATTGTATACGAATTAGCTGGGGAAGTCATCCCCATTTTCCCTTTTTTCTTCCAGGGGTTTTATTTACTCGTTTATTGATTTGGGAAGTCGCTCTAGCCCGGAGTGAGCCGGCGGCTGTGTCCCGTGCTCTCTGTGCGGCCGCGTCCCTGTGCTTCATGCTGATGAATGAACTTGCGCGGAACCCTCTAAGCTGTCTGGCGCCCCCTTGCCCACTGTCCCCGGTCTTGCTTTCCCTGCGGGGCCTCCTCTCCTGGGAAACCCGGGCCTCGTCCAGCCCAGAGGCCATTGAGCAGCGGCCAGGGCTGGCTCCGGGGTCCGGGAAAGCCCTGGTGGGAACTGTGATGTTGTGATTGTTTCTTTGTTTCTGTGTGTGTTTAATTTGCTGCCAGCTGTTTCACCCCCAAGCAAGCAGCACCCCTGAAACCGCCTGCATTTCTGGGGGTGGGGCCCTGTGAGCAGCAAGGCTCGGGGGCTTTTGCCAGCAGCCTTGGCCCAGCCTCTCCCTCGTGGAGCAGGAGAGACAAGAGGCACGGGCCGGCCGATGGGTGCCTGCTCTTGCCGCTGCAGCCTGTGTTGCTGCTCAAGGAGTGTACAGGAGGGTGTCATACCCACCCTCAGCCCAACAGCCTGTCCACCAGTCAGTGAGCTTCTCCTGGAAGGGGCCCCGGGGGCTGCCTGGGGCTGCAATGGCCCAGCTTGTCTCGCGCAGGTCTGCCCTAGGAGCCTGGTGTGCCTCTTTTGGGAAGACCCCCTTCCTGGGGTTGCCTGCCCCACCTGCCCTGCCTCAGGACTCCCTCCTGCACCTGCCCATCAGCAGCCTTGCCTCCCCTCAGCTAAGTCCCTCTCAGGCCCTTTGGAGTCTGCCCTTTTTTTTAAGTTGGATTTTTTCCTTTGTTTTCGTTTTGTCATTATGATTATTATTATTATTATTTGCCATAGTAAAAAAAATCAGAAATTCATTGCCAGTTGCCAGCATGAGGGTTGAACCCAGGGCTTCTCAACCTCGGCTTGATTGACATTTTGGGCCAAGTGACTCCTTGCTGGGCGGCCATCCCGGGCTTGGCAAGATGTTTACCCTCATTCCTGGCCTCTACTACTGGTTGCCGGTAATATCTTCCCTGACAGTCACTGATGTCTCCAGAAATTGCCAGGTGTCCCCTGGGGGGCAGAATCACCCCTGGTTGAGAACCACTGGTTTTCCCAGTGGCCTTGTGAAACACAGCTAAATGTCACTGGACTGCTTTGGGCCTCTGCAGGCTGTGGGCCGGGACCTCTGTTTGAGTTTGTGCAGTGTGGCGGGCCCTGCCCTCTCCCTCCCCTGACGAAGCTGTCCAGCCCCTCTCAGGCAGCAGCGGTTCTGCCAGAACCGAGGCCCTTGAGCCACATCCACCCCAGGGCCCAGAGGTCAGGACCCCAGCCGTCCACCCTCTACAGAGCTTGGGGGTCGGACAGCCACGTGTCGGGCCCACGTTCATGTGAGGGGTGAGCCCAGGACCAGCTGCTTTCATGTAGTGTGACGATTGCTGTTGTCATTTAGGAATTCTGAGCTCAGAAGGACAATAGGGAGTGAGACTCTGCCCTGGGCCTACCATTGAAACAAAAGCAGGAACAGATCTCAGAGACCCCCCTGTACCCAGAAAAGTTTGGGGGTGAAGTGAGGTGGGGTTTGAGTCCAGGCAGCTGCCGAGACCCCAGGCTGGGGACAGGCCACCTGTGATCTCCCATCGGAACAGGCGGGTGCTAGCAGCCTTCCTGGGGAGGGGCAGGGCTGGCAGCAGGAGAGGTCAGATGTCGTGCTCTGGACCAGGTCGGGGCTGCAAGCTCCCCAGCGGCAGCATGGCCCCACCTCACTCACCACAGCCCTCACAGCACTGAGCCCGAAACACCACGATGAGCTTGTGGAAGAGGCAGGCCCGCAGGACAGTGTCCCCTCCATGGTTGGCACGTCACTGCTCCCAAAGCAGGAAACCCTGGGAGAGCTGTCCCAGGTCTGCACTTGATATCTATCCAGGAGAGGACATACCACAGACATGAAGCCAGGGGACTGATGAAGTAGCCGTAGATGGTGCCCGAAGGGACCCATCCTCAGGAGCCTCCAGAAGCCTCTATCATGCCAAGGGTTAGAGGGAAGGGGGCTAGCACCGGCCACACCGCAGTGCATTGCCTGGTGTCTCAGCCGTGGTCTTCCTTGGGCCAAGACTCCCCACCCGGTCCTCATTCCAGCGGCACAAGAGCCCTGCTGACCCGAGACCAAGGACCCAGCAAGGACTGTGGGAACAGGGATCAACCGAGTGGTGGTGGACATTGACCAGCGGCCCCCAGTGGCCCTCCTGCCCCTCCCTGGCCAAGCTGCCCAGCTCTGAGTCCTTACGGAGAGGACCTGCCTGCAACAGTCTCCATGTCCTGTTCCAGGGGAGCAGTGACAGCCAGCAGTGGTGGGTGGACAGAGCAGCACCCCTGCCATGTGTGAAGTGGGCCAGGGCCCAGAGAGGGTGGTGCTTCCTCTTGCCCTGGCCACATCCCTCCCCACCATGTCAGGCCCAGCAGAGAACGTGGTGCAGCACGCAGATGCCAGAGTCAGACAGCCTGAGCTCATCCCCCACCTCCGCCTGCCCTCTCTAGCTCTCAGACCCTGTGGGCCTGTTTCCCCAGCTGCATCGAGGGAGTCAGCGCATGGAAAGCCTTTCAGGCGTGCCTGGCTCAGGCAGCGCCGGCCAAGTGTGCGTAGCTATCATTTCTGTTGTGGTCATTGACACTGAGCAAGGCCACCAGCTCGGCTGCAGCATTGTTGAGGGTCACAGGACGAGTATCCGGTGGGCAGGAGAGTACTGCCATGTGACGTCCTGCCCTGACTCTGAGGAAGCTGCAAAAGTTGTGAAGAACCATCCTGGGAGCCCTTCAAGAAAAATGGTTCCAAGTCCCTCCAGACCCTGCCCAGGGCTGGCTTGGCCTGATCCGCACACGTGTGGCGTGAGCCACTATTCTGGCCTGCCTGACTTCATCAGCCTGTGAACCTGGGCAGGTGTGGGAGGCTGCGTATGCATGGGATGTCTGCACGGATTGCTATGGGCAGTTATGGTTGTGGGTGTACCTCTGAGCACAGGGCTCTGGGATTCAGCACAGAGGGAGCCCTGGGATCACCCTGCATCTCTTGCTGACCTGAGACATTGAGAAAGTGGATTTTAAGACATTCAGCATCACTCCAAAACAGCCAAGTAAAGAACTCCTAAGTGTTCGCCCAAGTTGAGCAGGGTAAGGAGGACCATGTTTAACTCCAGGTGGGGACACTGTGTGGACCCCCAACCCCAGCCTTCAGGCCTGGCCCAGGTCGTGTCAGAAGCTATAGGCTAGCCAAAAGGAGTTGCCAGATACAGGCAGGGGAGGCCATCTCCCCTCTGCCCCTGGTTTTTAGTCAGCCAGAGGAGTCCCAGGCCTTAGAGGAGTGGGCTAGAGAGCTGATTTGAAAACCCTAGAGACAGTGGCGCTCTGTCTCTCCACATTTCCACGTGGCGCCACAGTGTCCTGAGTGTCTGATGGCCGTGGCCACCCAAGAGGAGGGTGGAGGAGGGAGGCCATGTCCTGGGAGGCTGGACTCTACTTTGCTCCATGTCCCTGGACCACTGTGTTGGGCAGGAAGGGAAGAAAGGTCAGCCCCTCTTCCCACACTGGCTGAAAAATGAGGAAATGTGAGCCTCCTCTTTCTTCTGGCTGAGAATTAGGGCCAGGGTCCTACTTGGCTGTCCTAGGTCCTCAGCAACTGGTGTCAAGCTCTCTTGCCCTGATGTGCTGTGTGGCCCTTTCCCCATAGTGGTCTCTGAGGGCCACATCACACAAGCCAGAGCCACCCAAGGCCTTCTGCTGACCCCAACTCCCACCTGGGCCTCCGGTTTGGGGTCAGCAGGCAAGGCAGAGGGACTGGACTCCCCTGAGTCTGTGTGGCGATGCCCAGGCTGAAGCCATGCCACAGCACAGCCCAGCACACTCAGAGGGCACGGGGAGGCTCCAAGCCCACAGCACTCCCTCCACCTGTCACTGGCCGGTGGCCCTGGGCTAGCTGGGAGGTGCAGTAACTTTCCCAGAGGCTGGGGACGGGGCACAGTGGGGAGGCCCAGCAGTTGCTTCCTTCTCCTAGGGTCCTGGGCCCAACCGGGCCTGGGGTCCAGCTCTGAAGGCAGCGTGGCCAAGTTATCCAGCCTTAGAGGCAGCCGGGTGCGAAGGTCTGGGTGTGAACCCTGCTGCCTGTGAGAATTGGGCCTCAGCGTCCCCCTCTCTGACACGGACACAGTGGCGCGTATAGGGTTGACATGTCCAGCGCGGTGCTGAACACATGGCGATGCTGCCCAGATGGAAGCTTCAAGAATGTCAAGTGGGGAGGGCTGTTTCTCCCTCCCTTTTCCCATCCCCACTCCCAGAGCCCAGGCTGGCCCCTAAGGCCAGGCCCCTGTCATGCTCCAGGCTTGGTGTTCCTCAAAAATCCACGGAGAAATCCTCAGGAGGGACTGTGGAGGCTGGGCGGGGCCGGGCTGGGCCCTAGGCACCCAGAGCCAAGAGGAAGACCCGGCCTTGCTTTGACGGACCCCGCACACCGAGTGCCTACTGTGTGTCCTGCGCTGGGGCGCGACGAAGATGCTGGCAGAGACCTCCTGGCTTAGGGAAGGCTTTGTGGCCCCTTGGGGAATGGTGCCAAGCAGAGGAATCCCAAACTGGAAGGTGGTTTCCAGCAGCCCCCAACCCTGTCTCCTGCCCCTGGCCAGGGCACTGCACAAACCAAAACTGAGCTCCTGCGGGCAGCCGGGAGGAAGTGGGGATGTGAAGTTGTTTCCTCTTCACCCTCAGTGCTCGTCCTGCCGAGGAGGTGGGGGCATATATGTGTGTGTGCGGATATACACATATATACAGCAGTCACTGAAGGTGGGCATGCAGGACCTGCCATGCTGTTTGTGGCTATGGAGAAGCTGCCCTCGCCCCATTCACCCGAGTCAGGGGTGAACACACGAGTTGGAGGCATCAGGCCCACCTGTCCACATGCCTCAGCCCCAGGGCCCCTCTCAACAGACCGCTGGTCCAGGAGAAGGAGTATAAAATAGGGGCTGGTTTGAAAAAAAAAAAAAAAAATTTTTTTTTTTTGCTTTTCAAAAACTTTATTTTGAAAATTCATTCCTGCACTGCTGCTGGCTTCCCCACTGAGCCCCTCCTCCGACCCCTCACACCTGGCTCCTGCGGGCAGGTGGGCCCGGCACCTGTGCCTGCTCCCAGCAGGGGTGCAGGCTCCGTGGCAGCAGCGTGGCGCCAGGCAGGCAGCGCCCCCAGCCTCATGTCCGCGTCTAACTTCTGGTATTGCATGTTCTGGGCAGGGAAGCGAGGGCGTCGCAGCAGTGCGGGATCGCTAGAGAGCAATGTGGAAGTAAGTAGGAAGCGCCTCCGTCCAGCTGGCTGTCCTGTGTCGCCTTCCCCAGTCCTCGGTTCATATCTGTTGTCCTGGTTTTTTTGGTTTGTTTGTTTTTTGGTTTTTTTTTCTTTTTTTGGTTTTTGTTTTTTTGGTTTTTGTTTTTGTTTTTGTTTTTGTTTTTTTGCTCTTCCTTCCCTTGCTGCACAGAGATGCAGTCACCCGCTCCCTCCCTGCCTGCCTGGGACCCTGTGCATGTCAGCTTCTCCTGTGTGCCTAGAAATATCCATGCCTCTCACCGCTTGTTTTGGACTGAACAGTGGGGGTGGTTCTGAATTTTGTGTTTTGGTTTCTGCTTAACCCCATCACCTGTGGTCCCTGAGCATGGTTGACCATCCCCAGCTTCTGGCACCCCCGCCCGGGCCACCCGGCTCCCACTCATCCTCCACACTTGCTGTTGGATGTTTTTGCTGAACCCTTGACTTCCACGCCCACCCATCCCCATCGCTTTCTTCTTGGAGTTTGATTGCTGTGTGTCTGCGGCAGGACACCATGGAATTGCTTAGCTTGTGGGAGGAGGAGTGTCTTGAGAGAAAGAGAAATTCAGTGTGGATTTCATGATATTTCACTCATCCTCCGGCCATCTCTGTGTTACTGTTCACATCTCTACCTCAGCTTGCAGATCTTTTTCTGTTTCCTTCTTTTTCCTTGTTTGGTTTGCAGTAGGCAGCTGCAGTGAAATGCTTAGGCAGCCCATTCCCCCAGAGGACAAGGTTTCTGAGCCCCACCTGTCCCTGTCACCACCTCCCCCGAGACCTCAGGACCCACATGGGCGGAGCAGGAGAGCTGAGGGCCCTGTTTCAGCAGGAGCAGAGCTCCTCTTCCAGGCACACCAGCCCCTCTGCACTTGCCACACACAGCGCACAGACATCCCAACCCAGGGGTTCCGATCTGAAACCTCAGGCTGCTGCCAGGGCCAAAGTACTTGTCAGAATGAGACTGGAAGTCCTACTTCTGCTGCGGCAGTCAGAGAGGCGGGCCCCTCCCCTGCCCTCACCCCCGACTTTGGTCAAAGCCAGTCACCCCCAACTGCCCTGCACTGTAGTGAGAGGAGGTGGGGCCCAGTCCAGCTTCACTCAGCCCCACCCTCTGGCCAGCAAGTTGAACTAAAGCTTAGCAGTCAGTGGGTGAATTTTTACATTTAAAAAAAAAAAAAAAAAAAAAAACATTCTGACCTAAGTGCTTGAAGATCTTTTAATTTTGATTTCTATGAATTTCCTTTTTAGGGGTCCATCATTAGCAGTCCTCACATGCGCCGGAGAGCTACATCAACACGAGAGTGTCCATCTCGCCCACACCAGACTATGCCCAACTCATCTTCCCTCCTGGGCTCCTTATTCGGGAGCAAGAGAGGGAAGCCCCCTCCCCAGGCCCACCTGCCCTCAGCCCCAGCCCCGCCACCCCCTCACCCACCGGTGGTCCTGCCCCACCTGCAGCACTCCGTGGCTGGCCACCACCTGGGGCCCCCAGAGGGGCTGCCGCAGGCCCCTGTGCATGGGCATCACACCCAGTACTGCCACATGCAGCAGAACCCACCCCCCTACCACCACCACCACCACCACCACCCGCCCCAGCACATCCAGCACGCACACCAGTACCACCACGGCCCCCACGGGGGGCACCCAGCCTACGGGGCTCACGCCCA